AGACTTATATCCAACCTTCCCTTCTCTCTAAGCTCCTTAAGAAAGCAGTCGCCAAACAGTTGTGTGACTTTCTACATAGCAATAGTTTATTTGTATAGTATAGAAGTTATATCTCAAGTCAGAGATACAGTGGGGCCAAAAAGTATTTAGTCAGCCACTGATTGTGCAAGTTCTCCTACTTAGAAAGATGAGGTCTGTAATTTTCATCATAGGTACACTTCAACTATGAGAGACAATGAGAAAAATAAAATAAAAAGAAATTGACCAAATACTTATTTGGTCAATAACAAAAAGTTCAACTAAATACTTTGTAACATAACCTTTGTTGGCAATGACAGAGGTCAAATGTTTCCTGTAAGTCTTCACCAGGTTTGTACACACATTCCTCCATGCAGATCTCCTCTAGAGCAGTGATGTTTTGGGGCTGTCGCTGGGCAACACAGTATATACTGGAAGTAAAAGAGAGAAGTGAATTTATTTTCCAGCACTTTGTGTGAAATGAGTGGATTTGCTTGCTCATGAGTTTGAGCATGCGTATGAGCGCACACCTGGTTGCAATCAAAAACTGCATAGCTAGTTGCTATATTGCCCCTTTAAGTGACTATAACACTCCTGGATTCTATAAGCTTCAATTTTCAGATGTTAAACTCAGACTGAAGTTATTGAGACGTATTATCTAAAGATATAGTTAATCTGGATGGCATCGCTCTGTGAGGACTCTCGACGTTATCTTGGATCAGGTCACCCTAAAAATCTCTCACACACACACACACACAGGTCACTTATCTGTGCAGCTGATTTTTATGAAGGCATATTTATCTAGTCACATATTACCTGACATACATAATACATTTTCATATTCAGTTTATTTTGCACAGGTGTGCCAAACAAACAGCAACACCTCCACCACACAAAAGAAACCACAAATAGAAACTATTTGCTATACAATGATTACTACAGACGTTGCCATCGCTGAAACCACATAGCTTGCATTACGTACTTCCATGGAAGTATTTTCTTCACCGTCAACCACCGTGTTGAGCATTCCTTTCATTATCATTTATCAAGAGAAAAGATGAAAGTGTCCTTGGTAGTTCAACAATATGATGTTAATGTTAGGATATCCGTTTAAAAATTTTTCTTCTCTAATTCTGAGAAATAAAGGTTATCATGTCAGTTTTTGGTAGAGAAACACTAGGGTAGAGGTTGTGTCAGAAGGGGCACGTTCAACTATCTCTGTTAACACAACAGCTGTTTTATAGCATGTGATTGTAAAATGTGAAGTTGCTCATTAAAATTCTATACTTCAAAGAATATGTTGCTGAGGATAATTAATATAAAATCATCTTTCTTAAACAGAGAGTGCTCCTCTATTAATATTGAGCCATGTAACAGTGAAATAAATAAAATCATTAATGGTATTTTTACCATCATAGCAGCATTAATATAAATAGACAGGCATACTGCCGTGGTTCTAAACAGAATGTACAGTGTGTGTGTCTGAGACTCATTTCGGTCACTATTTCCACTAAAATAGAAAAAACAAACAAATAAACAAAAACTTTCATTTTAGATATTGACCCTTCAGTGTGCTTCAAGTGTTCTCTGAAACTAGACCATGTAACAATTCGATATTTAAAATCTGATAACACAGATGTGTTTACCATCTGTACAATCAGACACACACTGGTCTAAAAACCATACAATAAAAAACAGACAAACACTAAATAAATGAAAGAAAAAAACAGACATCATCCACAATATTACAAAGGCCTAGTCACTTGACGTGCGGTGACCTGAAGGGCAGAACGACAGACCAGGACAGCGGCTCACACCGGATTCCCTGTAGAGTAGTGTTACTTTCGTCAGACGAAACTAAAAAAATATATTCATCATAACCTTTTTTCCCTGACTAAAACAGACGAAGACGAGATGGCGACAATATCCTTAAACGCTGACTGGGACTAAAAATGACCCGACTAAAATGTAATTCATAAAATAAAAATATTAATGAAATCTCTTTCTTTTTTGTCAGTTAGGAGACAAAATATTACATATATTTTCTCCCTCTAAATTTTCACTTGAACAGTGTTAATTCAGCGGTAATATTAGCCCGTGACTGTAACCAACCAAGTTCAGACTGATTTCTGACTGACAGACTGAAAGCCATTTGCCTTTTCAATAGCAAATTAGCTGATGCTAAGGCTAGCGTCTTTTCTGACAGCCAGAAGAGATGACGTCCTGACGTCACACGATGCCCTAAGTGCTGCCCTAGAAAGCTCGAAACAATGTTAACAGAGATGCCTTCACTTGAAAGTGATGCCTTCTGAGGTATCTGTCTATTACAGATGTGAGGCACCGCCTTATGCTAAAACAGCAATGATTCCACATTCTGCAAAAGAACCTAACTGCACTTAGTGCCGGATTGGTCAGTGCTAAAATAGTACTGTTTGCAGAATCTGACAACTGAGAGATTATGATAGTATGATTTGTGTATTACTCAGGGTAACCAAAATTATTGTGTTTTCTTATATTGATCTCTGATGTATTTTATAGGTAGAAGTTTATATGTTGGTTTATCATTTATTAAACTAGACCTGATGTGTGTGTTTTTGGAGAGGTGCAGAAACAGGGGTCTCTGCATGATCAGATAAGGAGACTTGGTACAAAACATCTCTTCTATGAGAATGAGATATCTCATTTCAGGAACTACGCTCGTAATCCGCCCAGCAACAGCATGGTGATTTGTGG